TACCTCGCTCGACCTGCCTGCCAGCAAACCAGTGCGTCTTATTACATGCAGCTATATTAATAACGGGGACACCACCGCCTGTTGTATGAACCCTCGCCCTTTACCTTTACGGAGGCCAGCGGGAAGCCCCAAAAGGGGACGTCCAATATTATATCAGACTGACTTTTCGAAAGCTCTTCCTAAGGCGCTTATACGCAACGGTTTCTCCACCACACAACCTTGACCTTCTCGCCCATGTCACGGAGTAAATATACACGGCTTGATGCCATCGCCTAAAGATGACATATTTCGATTGCCTACGGTGGCTCCGAGATCAGTGACAAGAGGTCACTCCCAGCGGCGTGGGGTGCGAACTCCTTTCAAAAAAGTGCGATTGATGACCTGATGCTTGCTTTTTTCTACGCTGTCTCTTTCTCTTTATATTTTTTTTCTTTCTCGTCTAATATGATTGCCCTGTTCTTTTTTTATTCTTTTTTAAATTATGTGCTTTTTTGGCTTTCATCCACTGGGCATTTCGGATCGATGCACCCTTTTACCCGGAGTCTAGTTCATGATTATTGAATCCAATGCAAGGCAGCTAACTAGTGTTAACAAGTTCTCATCATGATACCCGGCCCTATGATCGGAAGCGCAGACCTTGGTGGACCTGTCCAGGGGCCTCTGGACCAGGGCATGGGGCAGTTTTGGGAGGATCCCTCATTTCGTATTTCGGCCGCGGCGGGAGGCAATGAAATGGCAGATCGAGATAAAACAATTCAACCTGGGGCCTTCGGGGATATCAAGAACATGTCCGCCTAACTACTGGCTCAGAACCTCCAGCGACATCTCATAGCAGTCCTTTTGTTTTTTTTTGTTTTTTTTACCTTACCGCTGTCACACGGCGAAGCCCGCAGCGGGAACCGGATCGGGCCTCAGTGAAGCGGACAAATGAGCCATTGCCATGCCACCATCTAGCCCCAGGCTAATATACACTTGGCTGGGTTATTTCAGTGCTGTTGGTGCGGCGCTTCTGGCTGCTGCTGCAAAGCCTGGAGAACATTACGAAAAACTACTGCACGACTTACCAGCCGCATGGCTCTGCTGGGTCATATTATGCATTTACTACATTGGAAAACGATACCTTCTCCACGGGCGCTTCTTTGACGGTGATGGCCTCAGAGGCAGAGATCTGACCTCCTTCATTCGCTTGTGGGCGGCTTCTATTGCCGTCGTCGCATTCATATTTGCCTCTTCCTTTTCAGGGGAAGCCTCGTGGCTACTGGTATGGAAGCATGATCTGTCCAAAACCCCCTCCCCCCATTCCACCATCTTCCTTCGAACCCCCTTGGAATAATAATCACCGCTTAGCAAACCCCGAGAGGAGATATATTTGGCGGTTTGAGAGCAATTGAGGATGAAAAGAATGCTTGCTGACTTACTCCGTACTAGCCTGTCATTACAACTATCGTCCATGTGATATTTCTTTTGCGAGAAAAACGCTCTTTGTTATCGCCATCGGACAGCTCACCTGGGGATTTTATACCCAAAGGATGGCCCTCCTTCGCCCAATTAACTGGACCGGTTGCTGTCTTGCTCTCTTTGGTTGACTCGGTTTTCCTATTTCGCCAGAGTGGAGATTTGAATTCATCACCGCTACCCTCTATCCTGCGTCTGTCCGCTTGGATATGCCTGGGTTGGCGGACGTCGAATAGCATCCGGTCAACAACAGCCTCTAAAGGCACGGATGTAACATCTTCTCTCTCACATGGTGTTACACCAAGAGTACTTTTCGTATTGACCGTATCTCTCGCCCTACGCGGCCATGTACCAAGCTTTACACCCGTCCAGATCTTGGTCTCCTTGCTTTCGGCCTCGAAATGGATAGCAATATTTTCACTGGTATGTGTCAAAACAAGCCCACACTCTCATTTTGCCTTACTCCGTAGGGTATAAACGTAGATATAGAAACATTGCTGACGTTGGACGATATATATCAAGGTTTCGGGAAATGGCCCTGCTTCTGCAAGCACTCTAGATTCATTTGCACTCTTCTCGGTTCAGGCAATAAATGTCAAGCAGACCAATGAATTTCCCGTTCTATTTTTGTCAGCCGCAGTAGCCTTGATACAAGGGGTAATTGCTCTCCCGAAGGCCACACGACATCAAAATTGGCTAGCTCTGCTTTTGTTGATCCCACTCGCTGGCATTGTGCGTCAGGAAGCCTCCATCGACCTTGGATATTCCCTCTGGGACGGAACGGTTGGGCGTGTTGCAGATATCCGCATCCACCCCATCCAACAACTCGCATCAGATGCCCTGAAAAGGCACCGGGACATGGTGGCAGGCCAATCCAAAACTTTGGAGGCTGCCATTAAAGAATATGAACGCCGATATGGCCGAAAACCTCCTCCTGGATTTGATGTGTGGTATAAAGCTGCAACACAGAAAGGATTTATTCTAGTCGATGAGTTCAATTCGTTAATGGAAGGACTAGAGTTATTCTGGGGGGTCCCTCCCGCTGTGCTTCGTGCCCGTGTGGCTGCAGCAACGCAGATCTCAGGTTCAAGGCTCATCCGCTACTCTGTGAGAAATCGTAATCTGGTGGCTGAAAATGACGGTGAGGCTACTTGGATTACCAACCAGCTAAGGTTATGGTTCACTCCTGAAGTATTGGATACTGTGCCTGATATAATGTTTGCCCTTAACTTACTTGATGAGCCAAGGGTCGTGGCTCCCTTTGATGAATTAGTGGAGGCTCAATCTGCAAGTAAACTGAATGGCTCCGCAGGGCTCTCAAAATCTTTCTCAGAAACAGTCGGGTTCGAGAAGGCAAATTCCAACAACATGTGGGATAGCATGACATTATCCTGTGACCCCAAATCTGCAGCTAGAAAGGGCCCGAGCAGATTCAGGCTCCCTCACAAGGGGTTGGCCAGCAGCTTCGTTTCCAACACGAGCGTTGCCCACGATGTCTGCTCCATGCCAGATCTCCAGATCCAACACGGATTCTTCATTACCCCCGAAACGGCAAGTATAGCACATTCGATCGTCCCCATCTTCTCACAGGCCCGGCCTTCAAGTTTTCAAGACATCCTTCTGCCGAGTGTATACTATGGTGCAAAGCTAGAGCTGCATGAATACCAGGAAAGCCAGGATATGAAGTGGGATGAGAAAGAGAATGTCGTCTATTGGGCAGGCTCTTCAACAGGGGGCCATACCAACATTAAGAATTGGCGTACCTTCCACCGTCAACGACTGGTGCTCGTAACCTCCCACAATGCTACGAGGGTTAGACTTATGAAAAAGGTCCCTAGACCCTCTTCGACGGGCGGTAACACCACGTCTACTTGGCGCACCTATACGTCTAAGATGGGACAGATTGCGTCCAAGTTCAAAATCCGAATTTCAGCCGTCATCCAATGTGAACAGGATGCATGTGATGCGCAAGAAGCCGCTTTCCGACCAGATGAATACCCAAAGGATGATTTCAAAGCAACTTATCGAGCAAGGTATAATTTAGACGTTGATGGCAACGGTTTCAGTGGCCGTTACCTTCGCGGACTCTTGTCCAACTCTGCCATGATGAAGCAAACAATGTTCAAAGAATGGATTGATGATTGGCTGACGCCTTGGCTCCATTATATACCCGTTAATATGGACCTGGTGGAATTCCCAGAGTTGATACGGTTCTTCACTTCTGAGCCTGAGGGTCAGGAGATTGGGAAAAGAATTGCGATGGCAAGTAAAGACTGGGCGCAGAAGACAATTCGGACGCAAGATCTAACTCTTGCGCTTTGGCGGGTAATGTTGGAATATTCACGGCTTATGAAGGATGATAGGGACTCTTTGCAATGCTGTTCTTGATTTGACTGCTGTTGAACAGCATTTGTTTGCTGGGGCGGATTTTAGATATATATATACACTGGGTGGCCATCTTTTGTTTTTGGTTGGAAGCGATATATGTTCCGTTCACGAGCGAAGGCAGGGCGATGTATTCATATTTCCCTTAATAGATTTCTAGATTTTTGGTTCTACTGTTAGCATGGGGGATACTTACGAATATGTACCTGTTCTGATGCTTACGCCGGCAACCGGGAATAGACGTCCTTGTAGCCCCCCTATTCTACCTACAGCCTTGTCCATGGATGGCAAGTATGCTCTAGAATACTAAACGATATATACCATCAACAGAACCCAACGCCCATCTTGTCCGATATATCCACCTCAAGCCGTACGTCTTAAGTATAATGCAAGAGGATCGAGTACGAATTTGAGGAGTGTTGTAAACGTGAGGTAAAGAGTACCCGAGTCGGTTAAAATAAATGGCTTTGGTACAGGTTTTGTTGAAGCGAGCTGATAGTAAAATTGGGAGATGATCAGGCCAATCAATTACTGTTGCGAAAGTATCGTAAAGAGCTTTTCTGTGCCACCTCTTATCGGTCGTTACCTATGGTGGAAAGACTTGTCCATCACTCGAGCTTAACGATATAAAATCGATACCTACCTACCCGGTAAAGCGGAACCGTGTAGCCTCTAATCTGCCTAAGCCTTCCCTTGGTGCCACGTTCCGGCGTCTATATGAGTTTGTGAAATCTGTAAAGGAGGTGTATGAGTTAGTGCGACGAGCGAGGTTGTTGAGATTGTTTAAAAGGAAGTGTGACGGTGATCTGGTAACGAACCTTGAAGGACAACTCTAATCTTCCTCATGTCGCCTAGTTGGGCATACTCCGAGAGAGTTTTCATCAGGCGCTCGCTTTCGCCGGGCTTGACGGAGCGGGCGGGCAGCATCTGGATTGTGGCTTCGATCCAGCTTGCTGTTTCTGCGGGTAAAAGTTCGAAGCATGACATCAAAACTGCCGAAGCATCTGGGAAGCAGTCACCAGGAAAAGTAAACATCATTCCGGTTAATACCCGTTGCACGAGGAAAGAGCCCTGTGACACCATTATTTGCTTCACACCAGATCTGATCTCCGGCGTGTTCGTATAGACCTCGCCTTCCGGGGTTGTGAAGTTGGACACAGCCGGCTTCTCAAACCCAAAGCTGACCAGGTCACGGAGATATTGCAGGGTGGCGGTTAAAGGTTCGATCTGCTGGAGGGTGAGTGCACTCAGAGCAGCAGAGAAAATGGGGACAGAGAGATTTGACGTGACGGTGTTCTTGGGGAAGAATCTGACTGCATCTGTTGCCAGTCTGAAGAAGTCCTCGATCACTAGCAACGTATTAGTATTTAACAACAACAGACCTAAAGAAAGGTTATACATACTGTCAGGTAATTGCTCTGGAGGCAGGTCGTTGAGAATTCGGAGGAAGAGCACGACTTGCTGTTCGAAAAACTGATAAACAGCAACGCTCGTGGGGTTATCAACAAGTTCTGCCCCGGTTGAGAATTCTCGGACAATTGCATCTGTAGCCCAGAGGAAACATCCTTCTCTCGAAGCCTCGAAGCCAGAGGAGATGTTTTGGGCGAGCGTCGGAAGGAGAGGAGCCATTGCATTGCGGTATGAGATGATCATGTATCGCCAGCATCGGCAGACTCTCTCGAGGATTGGAGTTGATTTCGTGAAATTCATAACTATCGTACTGAGAACGGGTAATATATCTCCGCAATATTTGACTCCAGGGTTCTCTTTTCCTGGTTCGACATAAGGAGAAACCACCTGGATGAAGATCGCGATTAATTGCAAGTGATCTAGAGTGCCCATCCTTGTCAGCTCTAGTTCATATTTGGAGGAAACAGCATATACATACCAGCCACGGCCTTTTGACCGTCTTCATCTTTGGCGTTGTTGGCCAAGTTCATAATTCGAGACATAAGGGGGTTGCAGAATAATTTTAGTCCTTCGTATATCTTTTCAACTGGCTGAACAGCAAGAACAGCCGCAACACCCTCAGTGACCTCTTCCTGACTCGATGGCTTTAGACCATCAATGACAGACTCATAGAAGGTATGAAGCTGTGGAATGTGAGAGCCGAGCAGTTTCTGGCAGTCGGTTCCGAGGAACTTGAACGCAAGGGCTGCCGCCTGCACAACTTCCTGTGATTCGTGCTGGAATCCGGAGATGACATAGTTGAGCTGTGCCTCCAGCGTTTCTGGATGCTGCGCAGTCCATTCGGTATATCTACCAAGTGCCATGATTGCCTGGAAACGGACCTTCTCCTGGTCTGGTATGCGCACAATGAGGGGAATGATTTCCGGCAGGACGTAGCTTTCCTCTGCTTCCACCATTCGTCCCATCGCACGCATGCTGAAAAGGGGTGCTTCCAGTTCTTGCCAGTGAGGGACATGGTCGTGTCTTGCCTGGGGCCCGTATTTGGCAACCCAAGCCTGAATAAGACTGTATGCCTTTCCGAGACAATCGGAGACACCGATAACCGCACAGCAGTCCTTGAGGACGTCTCCCATTGAATGTCTGAAGCTTCGGAACTTCTCTTCCTGCTCCCTGTCTCCATCGAACAGGTCATTCTCGTCTCCGTCCGAGGAGGGATATTCTAGATGTTTGATCATGACATCCACGAGTTTCGAGAACAAGTCTCCCAGGGTAGCTCTAGCTCTTGCGTACCGCTCCAAAGTCAAGTATTGTTTCAGCTCATACCAGAAGACGAAGGTAATGGAGATGGCGTCCCGATCCTTGTCAACTGAACAACACTCTAGCACAGCTTCCACCAAGTTTCTGAAGTCTTCAGGTAGACGTGCAATTAGAAGTACCCAGGCCTCTGCAGCCTCTGCAAACAACCGAGTAAGGCCCCGTAGTAGGTCGACATCTTCTGTCTCTGCGGCTTCTCTGATCCTGGGCCTTAGGGCAATTATTCTTGGGTATAGGGCCTTGATGACGTCCATTGAGTCGTCGACTTCGAGTGTGTCTCTATAGATCATGCATATGCAGTCTACCGCCGCTTCAAAGGATCTTTCCTCTGCAAGGGCCTTCATAATGATGTCCATGAGGGGGGACTCCACAATCTGAGCTGCGGGTATCTCACGCATCCATGAAGTAATACATTCTAGGAGAAGTGGGTTCGTTGCCGCAGAAGCTATAACAGAGAGAGATATATAGTTAGTAGCGCACTTAACTAAGCAAACATCGATAAAAAAAAGGGGGGTAAAACCTACGGGAAGATTGAGAGTACTGTGTCAAAAGACCCAGGACCTGGCTTGCGTTCTCTTCCAAGAGCTCCCTTGTTCTTGAAGACAGCTCCTCTTCCTAAGGGTTACGCACGACTGATTAGATAAAACAAGAACGATTTTTCTCTGGCCGCAAAAAAGGGGGGTTTGATAAGACGGGTATATATGTTGGTGTTGGACTTGCGCAAAGGCGGTGGTAGATGGGAGGACAAAGGTGGATGGATGTGGTGTGTGAGCTCTGCCGGAACATACAGTCAGGTTGATTTTGCGCCCTTCTATGACCTCTTCGGGAAGGATCTTGAGGAATTCGAGGACACAGTCTCCAGCTTCGTTGCCGAGAGCAGCTCCTACGGTAGGCAGGACGTCTTTCCAGGAGGTCATCTGGATAGCAAGGGTGGCCAGGGATACACATAGTTGTGTCCGTATGGGGCGAGGTCCAGATCTGTAATTTGACAGGAGAGACAGTATCGACGTCCTTAGTTCGGGCTGAGCGGACTCGGGGAGCTGGTCGAGATCATATGTAATCTATCAGAAGCAGACACAACCCGTCAGCTGCCATGTTGGTGTTGTATGTCGTGGTGAAAAGGGGGTATATATATATATATATATATAGATAGATAGATATGTCTAGGGGAGATAAGCGCGGGTCCTCACTTTTCCCTTGAGCGTTGTAGCCGCAAAGAGCTTTGCCTCGACCTGCGCATCGGCAGTCTGGAGAATCGCATGCGTCGTCGTCCATGCCTCTGTCTGTTTGATACGAAGAGCAACAGCAGCGTCTCGTTAGCCAAAAGGACGGTTCCATGGAGGGGTAAACATCTACTCTATCTATGACAGAATACGGGGCGAGGAGGGACACGGAGATGGCTCAACTGATTTCTGGAACTTCTCGAGGAACTCATGGGCGTGAGTCTTCTCCTGGCGAGAGACGCTGCTCTGCATCGTCTGGAGGGCAGCGAGCACCGGCGCAAAGGCCTGCTGCTGCGCTGAAGCACTGCTCGCTGTCGCCATGGCGCGGGTTCACTGCTATGCGGCGGGCGGCGGAGGATCGGTGCGGGCGGCAAGAGATCTGGCGACGTAGCAGGGCTGGGAGTGTCAGCGCTGGGCCTGCGGTCGTCATGAGGCAGAGGACGCTGCGATAGAAAGAGGCGAGGCGGGAGTGAGGGATCGCTGCTCGTGGTGGTTGTTTTGTTGTTGCTGCTGCAGGCGTAGTTTTTGGCTGTTCTGGATATCCTTAGTTATTGTTTTTTCACTTTTTTTTTGGTTTGATGGAGGGAAAACCCACTTGGTTGTTTTCTCTCTCTCTCTTTGCTCACCAGCGAAGTTTTCGACACTTTTTTGACGGCCGACAGCAGCTTCACCACGACAGTGAAAGAGGATAGAGAGACGGTAGAAGAGAAAAGGACGAAGACAAAGACGAGACCATGACCGGCCGAGGACAGCGAGGCGGCGCGAAGACGCTGCTGGCTCCGATCCATTTCATCTTCAAGCTCCTGCAGCAGCGGACGACGGTCTCGATATGGCTGTACGAGCAATTGGCAGTGCGCATAGAAGGGAAGATACGGGTACGCAGACGGCTCTACGCCTGGTGGTCTACTCTGGAGCTGGAGCTGGAGCTGGAGCTGACGGTTTACTAGGGCTTTGACGAGTTCATGAACCTCGTGGTGGACGACGCGGTCGAGGTCAAGTTGGCTACGAAGACGGAGGAAGAGTCCAGGAGACAGCTTGGTAGGGAGATTCTTTTTCTCAAGTCATGTATCCTGCTGCTGCTACATAGCATATACTAATGGTACGGGACAGGCCAAATCCTTCTCAAAGGCGACAATGTCTCGCTGATCCAGACGGTGCAGTCATAGGACCGACGGGGCTGGGTTTACAAGTAACGGTTCAAAGGCGACTGGCGTTTACGGTACACCATGTTTTTGCTAGGAAGGGTTCAGTTTCAGCGATGAGAGGGAGGAAAAAGGGGGAAGACGATGAATTTGAGAGGTGTTCAGCTTCTCACGACTCGTCCGTCACCTACGACCAGGCTGTCGACGAGGTTGTCGTACTCTCCCACGGGCACCTCTTCTGGAGGCTGAAGGACCTGCTCGGCCAGACAGAAAGCGGCTATTGAGAAAATATTTTTGATGGGTTAGTGAGTCTAACGGAATTAGTTGTGCTGTTTGATGCTGCTGTTTTGAAGTCTCACCGAGATATGGCATCTGCCCTTTGCCCACGTTACTGCGATATCTGTTGATAAAACGGTCATAATACCCCTTTCCATGTCCCAGTCTGCGTCTGCCATGGTCAAAGGCCATGCCCGGCACGACAATGAAATCCAAGCCACAGTCGTCACCATCACCACCTTTCAAGGCGCCGTCTTCACCCCGTAGCCCGTTCCCGCCCAGACAGTTCTCCCTGCCGGCCACCGAGCTGGCGTCAAGCGTAGGAATCCCCCACCCGTCTGGCTGTAGAGACTCGTAATCCTCGAGCGAGCGCAGGGCCAGCATTTCCATGATCGACGACGGCTTCGTTTCAGCACTGCCTCCGAGCTTGTAGATGTATGGCACAAAGACCTGCTTCCCGCGTCTAAAGGCGTCCCTCACGATCTCCCCGGTCCTCAGCTCGCCGGCCGGCATCGACAGGTAGACGCTGACGCGCCGTGCCGACTGGTATTCGGGGAGTGCGAGCAGACGTTCAGTGGCAAGCGAGGCTACGATAGACAGACATCAGCAACCCTGAGGATAGATAGACGTCAATCAATAATATAGAGAGAGGCAAGAGAAGGAGGGCGCGAACATTGAGATGTAACTGAGTCTGCAGAGACGCCGGCGAGGATCTTCTTGATCCTGCTCCGCATCTCCTTCTTCGCCGTGCTTATCGAGGCCATCGTCGCATTTCTTCTTCTGTCCTGTCAGTCTCGCTGTCCTCCTCCTCTTCCTCCTTTTCCTCCTCCTGCTGCTGGCTGGCTGGCTGCTGGTTTGTTGACGTCGTCTGGAGTCCTGCTAGTGAGTGGCGAGTCTTGGGGGGAGGCGACCAGGGCAGCGCAGGACCGAAACATCGACGGGGTCAAGCGTAATAATTATAATTAGTTATATCGCCAGTTAACATATAACAGAGACAAGGAGAGCAGACGAGATCTCCTGCTGAGCCGTCGCTGCGTTGCCTGTCGCTGTTCGCTGTCTGCTGGGCTGTCCTCGACGTCGACGCGGGAAGAAGAGCGAGGACGACGTAATATCGGGTGGCTCGTCCCTTTTTTTCGCTGATAATATTATTATTTCCCACTGTCGACTCCAACCCTCGCCCTCCATCATCCATCATCTATCCCCCGTCTCGCTGCCTCTTCTCCTGCTGCTGCTGCTGCTCGCTATCGAACTGACCCTGCTGCTGCTGCCGACGATGAACCTGCTGCTGCTGCTGCTGCCGCTCGGCCTGCTGCCGGCTGTCTCTGCAGAGTTCGACCCGCGACTCGTAGGCACCTGGACGACCAAGTCACGGAAGGTCGTAACAGGCCCGGTGCGTACACTCACTCCCCCCCGGACAGCTGAAGGAGGCGCTGGAGGATGCAACAGGCTGGCTGACAACTTTCTCCTGCAGGGCTTCTACGATCCGATCAAGGACAGGCTGATCGAGCCGTCGCACACGGGCATCTCCTACTCCTTCACTGAGGATGGCTACTTTGAGGAAGCTCAGTACCGCGCCATTGCGAACCGTGAGTCCACCACACAACTATACACGTAACCTGGGGTTTCAAGGGCAGATGGACTAAGAAGAGATGTTGTTTTATAGCACAAAACCCGGCCTGTCCCAGCGGGATGATGCTGTTCCAGCATGGGACTTACGAGATCAAGCCCAACGGGACCCTCCTGTTGAACGCATATGCCTTCGAAGACGACGGGCGTCAGTTGATATCAGACCCTTGCAAGGGCGAGCGAGCAAGCTACTACAGATACAACCAGAACGAGACCTTCAAGGTAGGCTGGCCTTTTTTTGTTTGCCTGTGACATATATATTTATATATATATATACCCCTGCTGCAGCTGTGGACTGACCAATGTTCTACAGAGGTACGAGGTCTTACTCGATGAATTCCACAACATACAGCGGCTCAACCTGTATGGACACGACGGCACACCCATGAACCGCATGTTCCTCATCTACAAACCTCCCCAGATGCTGCCAACCAAGCACCTCAACCCCGTCGTCAAGGTTCAACGACGAAAACGAGACCTTGGAGAAGGCGAATTCGACAGGTCTCCCATCAAGAATTCTGTCCTCTCCCACCTACCCGTAACCGCCAATGCCGACCGCTGGTGGTGGGTTGGCGTCCTCATGACCTCCATCGGCGGGATTGCTCTCATCTACTCCTAGCCTTCTAAGCCTTTTTCTCCGCTGCATTTTTCCTTCCCATCCTCGACGCGAGGAAAACCGGAAGAAGCATACAAAAAGTTATATGATATAATGCACCATTTTGGATATAGATGGCGTTATGAACGGTCTGGCACACCCCGGGGGATGGGGTTCCTTTTCATTCTCTTTTATTTTATTTTATTTTTTTCACTTTTTTTACCTTTGGTCTTTGCCTCGGGAGGCTCATTGTTGATACGTGGGGAGGGTATTCATCTTCCTTTATACCTGCGTGTGCCGGAGTAGTCGGTTGCTACATACAGCTGTACTTGTACCCCCTTCCTTTTTTACCCTCTTGTCTATTCTACTTCCTCCCGTCTGCATGGCGTGTTTTTCACCCCTTTTGTCTTTCCTTTTCCTGTTATGTTCTGCCATTTCATTTCTTCCCGTGGCTCGGTCTGTTCTCATATGGCCGACGGGTAATTGCAATGTTTAATTATCATCAGCATCAAATAATGTTAATCCCTGTTACGGTCGTCTTATGCACCATCAAACAGTTACAGATCTAAGGAATGGAGATGATAGTGTTACATTTGGATTGTGCCTCTAATTTACACTGCTGCCCCTTACACTTCATACAGATTCGGGACTGCATACCACCAGGATATACATGCTAATCAACATACCAACACTCCTCACAGAAATCCTAACAGAATGAATAAAATGGTCACTTCTGTTCCAGTGCCTTAACCATCTCGCCAGCAATCTTCGCAACAGCCGTCTTGCTCGCTGGCTTCCCATCCAAAGATCCGCCTGCAGCAAGGACCTTCTTCATCACGCTTCCAATAGCCAGCTTCTCACTGGCAGCCTTGAGTTCTGCAATCGCACTCTCAACAGCAGCACGTATCGCATCTTCGCTCACAGTCTCAACCTGAGCAGCGTACTCCTCAACAACCTTCCTCTCTGCCTCTGCCTTGGCCAGCAAGTCCTGACGGTCAGCAGCGGCGTACTCCTTCCCACTAGCTTCTAGGTTCGACGCCCGCTTTCGAAGAAGGTCGAGAAGGCTCAGGTCAGTCTCAATGGGTTTCGGTGTTTTGGCTGCATTGTTCACTTCTGATATTATTCCGCGCAGGACGTCAAGTCTGTTCCAGAAGAGTTAGCATTGAGTTGTTGTTTATGACAAGCGGAGCCCGCGAAGGAAGAGCAGAGAATCCATACCTGACTTTGTCTTTTGCCCTCATTGCTGCCTTCAAGTCTGTCTTTATCTGTGCAAACAATGGAGCAACACCTGGCGTTGAAGATGTAGAATAGCGAAGAGAGTGCCGCAGCAAGGGCGACTGGAAGCGAAATGACCGAATCATGCTGACTGGTATGTCTTCTCTCTCTCTAAGTATCTGCAATAGTAGCGGCAGTTATCTGTCTTCTTCTTCTTCTCTTCTTCTCTTCTTCTAGTCGTAATTAATTGTTCTATCTTCTTCCTGCGTCAAAGTTGAATATTTGTATGCAGATGGCCCGTGCACCCAAAGCTTCATCTTTTTGTGTTGCTTAAAAAAGTCGCAGACGAAGAAAAGAAATCAACAACTTCGACTTCATCGTTATTTGTTGCCATTCCACCTCACCACTGCCAGACACCAGTCTCTTGTCTAGGGAGAGCCGTCAACAGTCCCTCGCTGTGGCCACCTGAATACCTTTCCCGACTGGCAACCGCTCGCCCTGTGTGTCTGGGTGCTGCGCGACTATGAGCTTCCCATTCACACCAACACCGAAGCCGCCAGGCACATACTTCCAGACTCCGGCGCCCTCGCGCTCCCATGGACCGCTGTTCGCCTCTAGGCCTCTCTCTCCGCCCTCGGGGAATGTTGCGGGCTCGAATCTAGGTGCCTCTACCGCCGCTCGGCCCAAGATGCCAGCCCCAGAGATCAAGGCGAAGCCCGAATCCATAAGCCCACGCGAGCGAGCAGCGCGGACAATAGACGAGGCGCTCCTGCAGGAGTCGCGGTACCCTGATCTAGACAGCTATTTTTCTCGTACGTTTGCATTTGCCCCGAAGCCTGAAGCCGAACGCGTTGCGCTGGATATGAGACCACGTCCATGAATAACTAACGTATTTTGATCCATCAATTAGAGGGCTATTCTTCGGACTATGACATCCCCAGCTCACCGGCATGGGCGCCGTTCCATAAAGTGAAGATGTATAGGATTCCAGACCAGATATTCGACCAGTATAATCGTGCGCAGGTTTCAACTAGCATGGGCTTGTTTGCAGAGCTAAATCACGCCTGGGTTACAATCGACAATGCTCTTTACCTCTGGGATTATACGCATCCAAATCCTCAATTGATAGGGTTTGAGGAACAGCCAAACAGCATCAACATGGTCAAGCTTGCGCGGCCTAGGAAGGGCGTCTTTCTTCCGGCAGTCACTCATATGCTCGTGATATCTACCACGGCAGATGTTTTCCTCATGGGACTTGCGTGTGAAAACACCGGCGGATACAAGTCAGTGACTATATACCAGACCGGCATGTCGGTGCCCATCAGAGGTCTAGACATCAATGTCATTGCCTCGTCCGACTCGACCGGACGGATCTTCTTTGCTGGATCTTCAGACAATGATGTGTATGAATTGACATATCAGCAAGAGGAGAGATGGTTCCAGGGCCGCTGCAGTAAAGTCAACCATACAACCAAGAGTTTTACCGCATTTGCGCCTCAGTTCAATCTGCGTAACAAACCAACAGAGTTTGTGGAGCAGATGGTAGTTGACGACAGCAGGAACCTCTTGTACACTCTGTCTTCAAACTCATCGATCAGAGTCTTTCACTTAAGGCCCGATGGATCCGTCAATCTTACAATCACCAAAACTGCCATCGACATATATTCTAACATCGGCCATATCATCACCTCAAATGAAACACTCAACCCTAGGGTCAAGATCGTCTCTATCAGCCCCATTCCAGCCCCAGAAGCATCTAGGTACCACCTTATGGCCACAACTGCTACTGGCTACCGAATCTACCTCAGTGCTACCGGCTCATATAGCTGGTCTGCCACCCCAAATGCAAATAATGCTCCTACCAGCATGCAAGCACAGCACGTTAAAACCCCACCATCCGACTCTCCTTCAGACCAGGTTCCTCAAGCTGCCCCTGTCCCGGGAGCCCCATTCCATACCACTGGCCCTTCTAAAGTCTCAATACACTCCCTAAACCCCACCAGCTCTGCCGAACGGTTTCCACCTGGGTACTTTTTCTGTTTCACGCAAAAAGACAATTCCAAGCAAGCGGACACATTGTTCATTTCTACGCCAGACTCTGGAAAACTTGCGATACCCCGGGATCCCTCCACGCCTATCAAGCCAGAGGAGACTGGCATTTGGCTCACCCTTGGTAGTAGGGCAGAAGCAATCGGCCTTTACACCCCTTACGATCAAGGTGGCCCAACGAGCAGCGGCTTTGGAAATGAGTTGGCAGTCCAATTTGATAAGCCAGCTGCTGAGATTGCCATTTTGACCAACACCGGAGTTCATATTATCCGCCGACGACGACTTGTTGACATGTTTGCTTCTCTTATTCGTAACTCGGATGGAGAGGACGGGTTAGAGGATCGCGTGCAGACATTTATTCGGATATATGGTCGAAGCGAAACCATAGCAACTGCGCTAGCAGTAGCATGTGGCCAGGGAATGGAAGTTTCGCCGGATTCGCGCCTTTCGAAAATAAATGATCCTGACGTTCTCGAATTTGCCCGAAAAGTCTTCATTGAGAAGGGTGGAAAGCCAACCATTAATGAAAATGCTGTTACTGATGGATCCGTTCCAGCCATCGATACGGTTTTGCCTTCTCCTCGGCACGCGGGCATTGCATTGTATACCTCAAGACTTCTGCGATCCATCTGGAAGACAGTAATAGCCCAACAGGGCCGAACACCTGCTGGTGGTCTTTCCATTTCTCCTGCTGTACCTACATCTACCTTGCTTACCATCCAGCGCGATCTCTCTGCTCTCAAGGACTTCTTCAACACAAACCGAACATTCATCGAAGGGTTGAGTGGACCTGACGCGCTATCGAAGGTAGCAACAAAACAGGAGGAGGTTGCTTTGCAGGCTGAACACAGAGGCCTTCACTCCCTTGTGCAGTTGATCTCCCATACCATTGAGGGGATCTCCTTTATTCTCGTTCTTTTCGATGACAGAGCTGAGGACGTCATTGCCCTGCTGAACGAAGATGCCAGAAACCGTTTCTTGGAGCTGACCTTTGAGCAGCTTTTTGCTACTTCCAAGGGACATGAGACTGCAAAGGAACTTGTCAAAGCCATCGTGAACCGCAACATTGCCAAGGGATCTAATGTTGAAACCGTTGCCGAAGCTTTGCGACGAAGATGTGGTACTTTCTGCAGCCCCCAGGATGTTATTGTATTCAAAGGACAGGAACTTCTCAAGAGAGCCACTGAAGCTGGACCAAACTCCGAGGTTGGCAGAAACCTGCTAAATGAGAGTTTGATGCTTTTCCAGCAAGTGTCAGAGAGCCTCCCTATGGATTACCTGAAACCCAGCATCGAGCAGTATACCCAAAATCAGTTCTTTGCAGGTATGTTGGCTCTAGCCTGTTCTAGAGATTTCAGTATGCTAACGACTATGCAGGTGCCATACAACTTGCTCTCAGCGTAGCTGCTGATTCTGACAAAGCAAATCATGCTCTTTCATGGATCATGGATGGAAGACCTGCCGAGGTAAGAATGGATATTACAGCAAAACAAAATGAGATGTCTGTGTATTAACGTGTTATTCACTAGGATCCACGAAAGGAAGCGTATGACTCCCGACAACAATGCTATGACCTCATCTACAAGGTCATCCTTGCCGTGGACGAACTTTCTGAGCAGGACAGTTGTGATGGTCCCTATAGCCTGATTGCACGAAGAAGAGCTGAAGCGTATGATGTTATTACCACCTCGCGGGACGAGGTTTTCCTCACTAGCCTTTATGATTGGTATCTCGCACGCGGTTTGAGTGACAGACTCCTCGAGATCAAGTCTCCATTTGTCGCTACCTATCTCGAGAGGAAGTCAACAGAAGATATATTCCACGCTGATTTGCTCTGGAAATATTATGCACAGTCGGACAGATTTTATGACGCAGCTGTCGTGCAACTCCAGCTTGCAAAGAGCCCCTTCAAACTTACTTTGAACCGGAGAATTGAGTACCTGGGTCAAGCGAGAGCAAACGCATCCGTGCAATCACCCGATGTTGGACGAGCAGCACGACAGCGCCTCCAGCACGAAGTCGAGGAGCTCTTGGATGTCAGCCATGTTCAGGACGATCTATTGCAGCGCCTTAAGGATGACCCTAGACTAGACAATGACCGGAGAGCTGATGTACTGGACACCATGAATGGAGGCATTATGGAGATCAGCAAAGTGAGCGCTTCTCTTCACATTTTCTTCCAACTGTTGAAAACTGACAATATTTTCCATTTAGATGTACAATGAGTATGCAGCCCCTGGAAACTACCATGACATATGTCTCCAGATCATGTACCTTGCAAACCACCGAAATGCCTCCGACATCACCACTACATGGCAAGATCTGATCGAAGGAGTCCATGAGGAGACCTTGAAGAACGGGACACCTCTACCGTATGAAGCTGTCATTGAAAAGGTCCGCAGCCTGGCACTTAGACTCCGAATGTCTGATGTTGCTTTCCCAGTTAAAACTCTCCTTCCAATGCTAGAGCGCTATAGGCTTGAGCATCAGAAGAACGACGGACCTCCAACCTGGGTTGTCGACCTTTTCCTTGAACTTCAAGTTGAACCGGAGGTTCTATATACCGTTCTTGAGTCCTTGTTTTACAATGATGAGGTACCTTTCCACGGAGCTAACAGAAAGTTTATTGGCAATGACCTTGCCTACCTGATCTCCAGGTGGTTCAATGAAACATCCCGGCTCGGAGGTGCTGCTTTTGGAAGCGATGTGATTGCCGCTAGGGTATCCGAAATGCTGCTCTTACTACAGCAATCTCGATTAGATAAAGATGTGGTGCAAGCATGTCGAGATATGAGAGTCAAGCTTGAGCAGTCCTTCCGATAAATTATGTGTTCTACACCCACCATACCAGCGCCGTTGCATATGTCTTGTCCTACGTCTTCGTTTATTCTAATGTACTCCCAAATCCTCTCGCCTGTTAGAGGCTTATGTCGTTATCTCTATGTCTTTTTTTTTCCTTAGTTAATATTCAGGATGGGGTACCGTTGAGGAGGGCGTCTTAAATGATTGTATTCTAGATCAGTTAAGACCTTTTTTATGTTCCAGATGCATATAAGCCAGCATTAGTCGCAGGTCTAGGTGATATGTGCCATACAGCTGTCTCTTAACTTCTTTACTGATTCTTCCCATGGCTATTTGGCCCTTGAATTCAGGGGTGAAAAATTTGATCATGTGACCCAATGCTGTTTTTGAAGGATCAATTTTGCGTCGACAACATCTTACAATTTCTCTACACCAGCTCCTATTTGACCAATATCTTTGTCTGGGTAGATACAATGGCTGGTACCAAAGGCCATTCGAGTGGCCAGAAGCCAAAAGGCTCGTCATGGAGACGTACTGCTGATTATGTCTATGCTTTCTTCTTCATACTCCATATTGTGATTATGTTTAGTACGTCGTGCTTCATACCCAGGTCAATGGAGAATTTTTATATTATATGGCAAGGTAATGAAGAATTTGGATTGGCCATGTACTGATCGAAATCCTTCATAGTGGTTGATCTAGTTCCGCTATACCCTGAAGCCTTGAAGCCAGCCTTCCTCGACGACATCCGCAGCTTTTATATCAACACCTACCAGGACAAGTTCTTTATCGACCCTCCAGCTTGGTTTGGAAACTACATTGTTATGGAGCTTGTTTACCATGTGCCAGCGAGTATAATCAATGCCTCTAAGCTTTTGAACGGTAAATATTCCATTCTCATCTTCAGACAGTAGAGAAGAAAGTTGAGCTAACACCTAATCACAGACGACTCATCTGCACCACTCCATGTGCTTGTGTGGGCCATTCAGACTTTCGTCACTACCCTTACTTGCGTGGTGGAGGTATGGAGCTGGGCTGATCGTACAACCGACCAGAAGATGAATATTAGCTTGCTCTATGTTCCATATATGATATTCGGTGAGCTTATACGCCTCTTTTCCTGTACGATTCTCCTAAAGCTAATCAAATCACACAGCTGGACTCGTTGGACTAGACATGTTTGTCCGTTTAGGAAGCGTTTTGAAGAAACTCAAGCGGGATTGAGGAACCCTTTTTTCAACGCTTGGTATACAGCATATTTAGACTATTTCCGTATCAAATTCTAGACTAGCTAGTTAACTAACTGGTTAGTTACCTTGGTGGCCTGCAATAGACCTCACGGAGAAGGACGCAAATAGAATACCATCCCTTGAATTCCAGGGATCGTACCATAATTCCTCACAACATTCCGTCTGTCTCGTACTCTCTTTCATGCTACTTGTCGGAGCTTTCATCGAATCCAAATATGGTTCCGGTAAAAGGCTTGGCATCGGCCGCTCTGCGTCACAGGCTCAAACGAGCTTATCAGATCGCGGATCGTCGTTGGATCCCAGAAAAAATGTATTTATAGCGACGCACAACCACATCGCCCTTTGTTCATATATTCAGCCCCGGTCGGATGCATCTGTCTGCTCTGTGCCATTGCCCATGCTTGAGTGAGATGTTATGATGAATCCAAAGGCAGCGCTCCGGCTGCGGCTGCTCCAACACCAGGTAATTATATGGAAATTTACCGCATCCTTGCTCACCGTACAGCTTGAGCTGAAAACCGAGCTGACTCTTTCTCCAGCCTAATACTTCTCGATGCCACGGCTATGGCAGCCTACCTCCTTCGAAGCGACGTTGCTTCTCCCACTTCACTCCGGCTCCGTCCCCGTCGCTCGTTCACCGGATCCATGCCCATACTCAATACCCAGTCGAGATCCCGGACCAGCTAGGCCAAAGTGCGAAGGAGAAGGAGGAAGATAAAGTCGGTGATATGATCTCCTCGAGACAACAGAGCCATTCTAACTTCCCGGCTGCAGGAATTCTTCCTCGATCTCCTAAGCTCGGCAACTACAAAGCGTGAAGCCAAGTCATATCTGTCCCGGTTTTCACCCCAAACACCACCCAGCAATGCACAGCAGGAAGATAGGGTCTCGACCAACCCCCAAGCAGCAGACACTGGGAGAAAATACACAGAAGTGTCTATAACAAGCTCCACCGGAGAAAAACTATCACCCACATATGATATATCAAAGCCCAAGGACACAATTACTGAAAGCTTGCATGTTGCTCTCGTGAAAATCAAAAACCCGGAGTCACTAGACGAGCAATGTCTCCACGGTATTTCCAAGACTCTGTCACAACTAAGCAGGCTTTCTATGTGCTGCTGCATTGTATTAGAAGTGAATACCCCTGGAAATGACATTGACTACCGGAAGCTTGCGTCCACCCAAGCCAGTCGCATTGCAGCCAGAATTGATAAAGTTCACAGCCCAGGTGCACGGCGACTAGATTCTGCAGTGTCTCTAGATCCGTCTACACATGATGTCTCCATTCTGTCAAGGAATTTCCTTCTTTCGCCCCTTTCTCGTGGCCAGATAGTGGTGATTGACCCCGTGGGGTACACAAACGATACGTCGAAAGCTCTCCCAGTTGCAGCAGATGAGATCATATTGGCATTAACAAAGGAGCTAGCTGGTTTATCTAGCAAGTTTGGCCTAAGTGAGGCTTCTGCTGACACGGTCCAAAATGTTCCGCAACCACAAAGGGATATATCAATTGAAAGATTGATCATTCTAGACCCACTGGGTGGTATTCCGTCCCTAGGCCGTGGACTGCATAAATCTCATGTGTTTATTAATCTTGAACAGGAATATGAAGATATACAAAACGAGATAACCCAAGCAATCCCTAACCCGCCAGAATCAGCTCACAGTGGACTTCAGGCCGAGTTGGAAGGCCATCTGGCTAACCTAACCTTACTACAGAAAGCACTTGCTCTCCTCCCTACCTCTTCCTCCGGCCTTATTACCACTCCTCAAGGCGCAACGACCTTACCTCTAAATCATAATGGCATCTATGGAACCCCAGCCGTGGGTACTCGCCAGCGGCGGAATCCCTTGATCCATAACCTTCTCACAGACAAACCTGTTCTTTCGGCTTCACTGCCTGCCAGACGCCGTGGTGGGGAAAAGTGTGATAATGACCCTAACAGTCAACCGTCCCATCCTACTTTTGTGAAGCATGGTATGCCACTTATCATGATCCCTGACCCCCGGGTTAAATGCTGGACCGCAGCGCACAACGACGGCTCCCGCATAAATCTAGACGATCCTGCAATAGATCTGCCACGGCTAGTCCATCTCATTGATGACTCGTTTAACAGAAAGCTTGACGTCAAACATTATTTGGATCGTGTGAAGGATCGGTTAGCGGGCTTGATTATTGCCGGGGAGTATGAAGGGGGAGCAATTTTAACTTGGGAGCTCCCTCCAGGTGTCCCTGATGACGGTAGTCCTGAAAGCATGTCCCGAATGGTTCCTTATCTGGACAAATTTGCCGTCTTAAAAAGAAGTCAAGGGGCAGGAGGTGTTGCTGACATCGTATTTAATGCCATGGTGCGAACCTGCTTTCCAGAAGGTGTTTGCTGGCGAAGCCGAAAAAATAATCCTGTCAACAAATGGTATTTCGAGAGGTCGAGAGGGACATGGAAACTCCCAGACTCTAATTGGGCAATGTTCTGGACTACCGACAATGTCCCAGAGAATGAGCAACTTTTTGAAGATTATGAGAGTGTCTGTCGCTCAATTCAACCGAGCTGGGCAGATAATAAAAAAGAAGTGGATTGATGTTCGGCATGATCTATATACGAAATCTTTGTCTCGGGCTATGTTCAAAAGCTTCAATATATATTTTTCTCGTGACGTGAAAATGAAACTGGTTCTCAGTGGAAGAAAACATATATAATATCAGGTATAAGTTCGGAAACACTGAGCTTGTTCTGGACAAGTATCTAGCTGAACGATTGGGGGCATGGCTAGTAATTTTGAAGCAACTAACTACCTTGGCATCTTGGGAGATACCCCTCGAGGAGGACTACGGATGCGTGCAACTAACGTATTCGCTAACTAATACTGGCCCGGAACATATGGGTCCATATTACCACAACCACTGTGGGGCGAGGATATTTCGCGCCGGTGTTCATGGTATAAATACCTTTCCTTGACCCATCTTCCTACATTTCGGGTTATGTTGATATATATTTCATTGCCATCAACCGTTAGCCCCTTTCTACACAGAGTCATGGTTCTCCAACGCTTCAAGCTTATGCTAGTTTACATTCGACATTTGATACCAATTACCTGGACCCTGCTCTCCGAGAAAGCAAAGGGACTCTTTCATAAACTGACATACCGGACAACCGAGTCTTGCAAGAATGTAGTCATAATTGGAGGCTCATTCAGCGGACTTTATTTAGCCCAGAAGCTGATTCAATCTCTCCCTACCGGTCATAGGGTGGTCTTGATTGACAAGAACTCCCACTTCAACTACACATTCAACTTTCCTCGCTACTCAGTCCTGCAGGGCCATGAGCACTTGGCTTTTATCCCATACGATGGCATTGCCAAAGATGCTCCAGTCGGTATATATCAACATGTCCGTGGGCTTGTTACCTCCGTTACTAGGGATACAGTCACTTTGGAGACTGGAGAGATAATCCCATATACTTATCTTGCCTTTGCAACCGGCGCAACTCAGAAACCTTCTGCAGGATTGTTAGCCACCGAGGCTCAAGAAGGATGTACTGAATTACGGGATAGGCAGAAATCCATCATGGAAGCGAAGAATATTGCTGTGATTGGGGGTGGGGCAGTGGGGGTTGAACTGGCAACTGATATCAAAAGCTACTATCCAGAAAAGAGTGTGACATTGATTCATTCGCGCGAACGCCTCCTCCCACGATTTGGCGGTCAATTGCATGAGAACGTGATGGATGCGCTTCAAAAACTAAACATAGAGGTGCGGTTGGGAGAACGACCCAAGCTACGCTTCAGAAACGAAAAAGGAGAGTCGGAGCAAGAAAAGGACCAATCGTTGCTTTTCTCAGACGGCAAGGTTGTTGCATACGACTTAATTGTAAGAATCGCGGAGTAGAGATATCCGAACCGCCTTTTCCGTACCTGTGCTAATGAACAAGTCACATAGGTCCCCTGCACGGGTCATCGCCCCAATTCCGACCTTGTCGCCAACCTTGAACCGGATGCTATCTCCAAATCTACAGGTCGTATCCTTACCCAACCCACCCTTCAGATCGTCAGCAAAGATGGACAGAATCCTAGAGTTTTTGCTCTCGGTGATGTAGCCGAGACAGAAGGCACTTTGATGGCCCGATCAGCATATTTCCAGGCACGAGTAGTGGGAGAGAACATTCTCAGTATGATTCGAGGGAGTGACCCAAAGGCAAAATATGTGCCAAACCTTGCCATTGAGGGGGCACTAAAATTAACTGTAGGCAAGGTAAGATTGCTCTCGTAAAACGCGGTTATCTATGGATGATCATCTGTTTGTAAAGCTGCTAAAATCTCTTCTCAATAATAGTCGGACTGGCTCATGTATGTGAAGCCTGCTGATAGTGACGCAATCATTGACTCCGGAAACAACGGCAATGAAGATTTGGATATACACGTAGCCTGGAAACACTTTGGTGGAGATATCAAGAATGCTAATAGCTTGGCTGAAAAGTTGAGCTCGGTACAGTAAATTACTTGGTTATGTACGGAGTACCCAGCACTTTGAGAATAAATTTAGCTTATGTACTCCACAAATATTTATCTGATCGCTTCCTTCGGCCGGTTCAGGCGAATCATCACCGCTACACGCTTGCAAGGGCAAAGCGGACAAGTGTGGTTGAAGAGAGCAATTTCCTTTT